ATACAACGAAAGGAGACTGCGACCACACAAAAGGCCACACCATCTTGGTCTTCATATCTTCGATAATAAACTTTAGCTGCAACACATATACCAACCAACCATATTTACTCATTTCTTTAGCTCTTTATCATCGTTTGTCGTCATTAATTTTTTCCCAACTATTCTCTGCTCAGATCCAACACCTACTTCTTGCTCTCCTTGAATCTCCTTTCCTTGCGACTCCGCTCCGCTTAGACGTCATACGTGCCCTTGACCAAACTACCAGACGAATAGATGGGCTGCTCGCTTCGTATGGTCTTCCTCAGACTGGGTCGTCTGATCATAATGAGATGGAATCCTGCTCAGGCGATCTTAAGCAGCTAAGTAAGCGTCAATCATTTTCACAGTTTACCGAAACAGTCGCCACGTCTACTTGTACAGGCTCTTGGCCGGAACTGTCTAGCCCTCAGGTCTTCTTGGACACTTCTGATCAGGCAGAACAGTTTAAAGAGCGCAAAGCTGATGATGTATCTGCTGCATATGTCAATGAGCTTGATTTTCCTACGCCATATCAACATTTGGTCTGCTTTCAGCTAGAAAATCGAGTATGTTTAATGTCGACTGTGTTACAGCTTATCATTTTGTTATAATATATAATTACTTTGTAAGCTGTATTCACTCTATTTCGTTTAAGGTGACGAAAGACTGTTAATTGAATCTTTTTACTACTATATGAGTAGACATGACGTTTCCATTGAATCTCACATAACCTTGCATTTCCTAAAATCTATTCTCATTCAGGGCGGACTGCAGTATCGATCTCGTCTATATCCTATCAACACCCTCAGCGGAACTCGAACAATGACAATGCAAGGTATAATCTCGACACGTTACTCACTACGCCAAATTTCCACGAATGCATTGGGTTACAGGTTAGATGTGAATTTCATGGAGATCCAGGCATTTCCTATATCACATTCTGCAGTTTGATTGTGAAATTCAGTGGAAATGTCATGCCTACTCATGTTATTGAGGTAAAATTCAACTACCGGTCCTTCATCACCTTAAACGAAATACGGTGAACACAGTATATATATATATCTGATGCACTGGTAGTCTCAAAAACTTACTAAAAACGAAATATAATTAATTTGTATTTATTCATAAATACTTGATTTTTTCGTCCTGGGAACTTTGGAATAATTAATTAAATGTTTCGCGGGATTCTTATCATGAAGCGATTTACCCTAATTGCGGTCAGCATGTAAAGTTTTAAAAAAGCTTCTCTAATTGGCTATTTGCCATAAATGTTCATATTTTTCTATACTTATTTATAATTTATGAATTCTATCCTTGTTTAAATAAGGGTTATTTTACTGATAACAATATTTTAAGTTATTTAGCTTTGTCTCGCAACCAGTTTTTATGGAAATTTGGATAATTTTTGTTGTTATATCAGATCGGGCGTGTGACTGCTGCTGTGCAAAGGCTCCTTAATAAGCACCATATATTTGAGTTTCTACTGGAATTCGATCAATTTATGAATGAGTAAGTTAGAAACATGCCTATAAGATATATCTTTCATTGCCTATTTTTTATCTCAACCAGATTCTAGCCTGATTATTTTTTTGTACAAACCACTACGTATTTCTATATATTTTTTTTATAACGTAATGATTAAAAAGGCTCTTTTGTAAATCATTTGTTAATTTATTTAAAGATTTTGTGAAAGTGATTTACTGGATATACCGTCCAAGGCGCATTTATCTACTTGTGTAAAAATTACTATATCTCTGATAAAAGTTGCATTCGTATCTGGCAACATAAGTTGATGAAAAACTATTAGATGAATTTTGCTGCAATTATCTACTATTAATTTCGAATGTGGTCAATTGTAATAGCAAAAAGATTTTTTTAGAGATAATCCCATTATAAAATGTAGCAACAGAGGCATGGCTAACCTTAACATTCACGTCTGCTCTATGACCCAATGATACCCGTGGTAGTGTGGCGTAATGGTAATATGTTTAAGTTATATTTGGGTTCGATTCGCGTTGGAGGTATTGATAAGGCCTAATTCAATAATTCTCTTTTTCCTGAATTTAGAATTTTTAAAGAAGTTGTTTGACCTTGTTTTCGCAACTCGGTCATATTGGTAGGAAGACTTAAATGAACGCACCTAGTCCGGAGTCTATAGTATGAATTATCATTTCCAGAGTAGGACCGTGGACGTGGTACATTCCCAGACGTTTCGCCGGCATCTTAGTCGGCATCGTCAGTGAGTCTTGCCATTCGTAGCACCATATTACAAACTCGTCAAAGGGACAAGTGAATCCCATCCTTTGACCAAACGTGTGCTAAACATTTGTGGTATCTACGAATGGCAAGACTCACTGACGATGCCGGCGAAACGTCTGGGAATGCACCACGTCCACGGTCCTACTCTGGAAATGATGATGCATACTATGGACTCCGGACTAGGTGTGTCCCTTTATGTTTTCTCACCAC